AATCAATTAAACATAGCTATCCCGTATAATTTATAAGATAGTCTATCAAATTATATAAAAATCTGCTTCATTTTACAGCTAACAAAAAAATTATCCATTGTAAGATACTTACCAATTTTATTTCGACGCTCGCTAAGGTTTGGCCGCGGAAGATTTTTGCTCTCACTGGCTAAACGAACGCACTGTTTGATGGTTTGCGAGGCGAAAAGTGGTACGGGGAGGTTCCTTTCTATTATACGTACTATAACTTTAGGCTAAGTTGCTTGTAACATAGTGTACTTAAAATCGCGGCACCTATCCCACTGGGGCATATATCCTGGAATTACCCTAAGTACTACTATAAATTGTTTGTAGAACAGTTTTAACAGAACACTATTAGGCTTTTCATTATGCGGTTTGAAATTTGAATATAACTTTTTCAAATTCCATTTAATTAAAAATATTTTTTCATAAACTATAGAAAGCCTTTCGATCATACTCATAGATATATTGAGACTATATTTTCTAAGTAACTAAAAACTTATATCGTGACGCACATCCTGTAATTTTTTATGTAAACCCCTTTTCAGCCGCGCATCAAAGTTCAGCCATAAAAGTGTCAGTTACGACATGTTACGTTTTCCGCGCGCGCTGCAATGTGATAAATCATCATTTGCGAACAATATGCCAAAGTTTAGACAATAGGTAAAGTACAAGCATATCAACTGTACTTCTATGTAGGTATCTTTAACTATATGACGTAACGTTCAAGATCAATCAAAGTTTAACAAAATAATATGTTGATTACTTAGTAGAATTGCTGTACGTTACAACTTCAAAATTGAAGGGCACGCAGACAGCAGACAATCGATTAAAACAGGTACATGATGGAAACCGCGATCTAATTAATTCTCATGAGAACGTAACATATTGTATTAGTCAAACATGTTTGATCATGAAAGATTAGAAAATCGATTTCCTCGACCCGCCCGGTGACTGCGGAATGTCGAATCTGGTAACAGTTGTAGTTAGTGGTTCCCAACCTTTTCTGGACCAGGAACCACTTTGTTTTGTTTAGTGTTCGCAGGGACCTATAAAAATTCCTAACTAAACTTTNCTAAACTTAAAAAAACTGTATTTAAAATAACTAAGCAGGATTTAAAAGGATTTCATCTTTATTTAGAAAAGCAACTAAGTACATTTATATCAATGTCATTATTGAGCTTGCATTCTACTGTAATTACTAGTTTGGTAATCCTAGTAGGACTAATATTACTTAATCCCTCTCATGACGCGGAAGTCTATCACTCTCGAAATTTAAAATCGTTCGCGGACCATATTATTTTAACTCAACGGGTCTCACTCTCAATAGTTACCGGTAGTCTGTGGACCACTGTTTGAGAACCCCTGGACCAGATAGATGCCAGTAACGTTGGCTTAATTGAACTTGTGATTTTCCAGCGATGTTACTCAACCAGATTGATAATTGTTCTCATGAAATCGAGTTTGCTACTCGATTAAAGCAATATTTATTTACTCAGACTCCAACTCTCGGCGTACACAAAATACTGGGAACAGAAAATGTAATCGTAATCCGAGACAATCTACCTAAATTGAAGACGATTACCGGGGATTATTATGATAAAATAAACATTTCGAAATATATAACATTTGGAAGATAAAATCAAATATCAAAAGAAAGTCTAGGTAAATAGGCAAGGTATTTCAAAGTAATTTCGTATAAATAAATAATAGTCGAGATCTTCTAGACAAAGCCCTCCCTCAAGGATTTTTAAAACGAGCGATTCTGCTCGGTCGGCATCCAAATACTTTTCAAGACGATCACCATCCTCCGGTCTACCTTATATGTAATTCTGATTTAAATTCATTTTTACTTCCAGGCAGCGAAATTTGAACCAATATCAAATCAGATGTTGTGTGGTATGCTAATCACCAGATCAATCCGACTAATATTATCAGGTAAGAAGTTCATGAGTTCCTTTTTGGTTGAGGATTCTGTGTGAAGCTCGCTTCCACTTTCGGCCTGATTATCACTTTCTATCAGGTGAGACACAGGCCAGAGCTTCGCGATGTGGATAAAAAAGACTTTTCAAAGATTTCTAACATCTGATATTGCACGTGAGGTTTGTCACTTACCTTTCAAATAACACGCGTTTGGTCCGTACGAGGGCTGTAAAACCTGCGCCATTTAGTAAAAGGCCAGTAAGTAAATAACTTTTGTCGGCCGTTTGGTGTAGTGGTTCGAATCGGACTACTATTCCGGAGGTTGCGGGTTCGATTCCCGCACAGTACAAACATTTGTGTGCATGAACATATTTGTTTGTATTGGACTGGGTGTTTTCTATGTATAATATGTATGTATTTACAAAAAAAAAAAAAAAGTATTTAAGTATGTTTATATCCGTTGTCTAGTACCCATAGTACAAGCTTTGCTTAGTTTGGGGCTAGCGGCGCAGTGTAAAAAATGTCCAAGGATATATTTTAATGTCCAAGGATATATATTTTTTTAAAGACCCACTAGTTTACTCAACACAATTAAAACCAAATTAATATAAATTCGACTACAGTTCAAAACACTAACTAAATATTATCATAATTAACCGTTTAAAATTAGCTTTTTTCTTTACTTTGTATACAGAGTGAACGTCCAGACGTCTATTGTTAATGGTAGGGGAGAGACCGAGGAGAGTTATGACAGAAGAGAATAGAGACATGGTCGATTTTTTTAAACTACTAGCGAGCTCGTAATAGTGCACGTTTAGTGCAAATCTCGAGCTAAAAAAACGCGCTGTTGCTCGCTTAATAGTTACTCGTACTTAATAGGTTGCCAAAAATTGACAATGTCGTAACTCTCCTCTGTCACAACTCTCCTCGGTCTCCTTTAAGTTCAATCCTTTTGTTGTGAAACACAGTTAGGTAAATTTAGTGGTAGCTTGAATTCTACATTACAATAGGACTCATCGGCGTGAGCTAGGTGTTTCGCATTCTAGTTCATCACATAGTTTCATAGGCGTGTAGTAAACAAAAGCATTGATTAGCATTCACGGACATGCCAGGAGGTCTCGTGTCAGCTCCCAAGGGGGTAATTCGGAGCACTGCCCACGCCCTTTCATAAAAGCAGCCGTACTCTCAATAGGTAAATACAAATACGGTATGGAGTTTGACAAGATCGACACTGTGACGTGAAAGTGAGTTAGAAAGGCATTTACCTGCCTCGGCAGAACTAAGAACTATGTCGTTGATACACTCCTTCCCAATTCTTTTTTATGCCACGTAGATACATATTCACGTAGTTTTTGACGCCAATTCCGATAAAACCTACTAACTCGATTTTCGATTCAAATCAAATCAAATTAAATCTAATTTCTTTATTTGCGTAATTCCAAATACAAAAGTGGTTGGATTACCACAAAACCTGAAAATATGAGTTTGTTCTGAATCGATTCCATTCTATTACAAAGAAATGTAATTATTTTTACACATCCGTAAGTTCGTTCGTTCGTTTCAGCCGAAAGACGTCTACTGCTGGACAAAGGCCAGGATAACAAAGGATTTCCACGGTCCGGAAGACCGATCCTGCGCCGCTCGCATCCAGGCACCTCCCTTCAAGGTCACCCAAAGGGCGATGGAACGTGCTATGCTTGGAGTTTCCCTGCGTGATCGAATCAGAAATGAGGAGATCCGTAGGAGAACCAGAGTGACTGACATAGCCCGCAGAATCGCTTAAATCAAGTGGCAGTGGGCGGGGCACATAGCTTGTAGAGCTGATGGCCACTGGGGCAGGAAAGTTCTTGAGTGGTGACCACGAGCCGGAAGACGTAGAGTGGGCAGGCCTCCAACTAGGTGGACCGATGATGTACGTAAGTAATTTTATAAAAATTTAGAATTTACGACAATCTCTACTAATATCCATGAAGAGTAATGTAAAACAAAACTGAAAAAAGAATTCAATTTAAAATTATTACCTTAAGAGAAGCCAATAGCGATGTTAATTAACGCTAACTTGAGATGTTCAAACAGACTGTAAGAAAACACATAATTTTATTTTAATATTTCACCTTGGAGGTTCAAAAAGAAACATTTATTTTCTCTTGCAAATGTTTTCATGCTGTTTACTTACCATTGATATATTTTTTTATAAGAAACCTTTTTATAATAAGATCTAACACCCGTATTCACAAACGATGCTTGCTTTAGTGAAGCAGCAAATCGAACGCACAGCGTTGAATAGAGCTCTGTGATTGGTTCGTGTGTGACCTTGTGCGTCCACGCGCACTGTGAGACCTCATAGTAATGTTTGTGAATACGGGCGTAAGTATTGGCGGCAGTTCTGGCAAAACCGATGCTAATGATCTACATTATAAATTAGGACTCATGTATAACGACCGCCTAATTTTAACCGCAGAATATTAAAATACCTACTGGGTTTAACTTTGGTAACAGCTACGTAACAAGATACTGAAGAATTTTCTCGATGTCATGTCATTCATGTCCTCTACAATATTCATCATTTTGTCAATTCATTAATGCTATGATTTGTTTATAACTAGTCACTAGTTGGCTTTTGCAACTATTGGTAGTCAAATAATTTAGAAATTAGTATCCGCATAGTTTTGCCCAAGCTTCGCAAACATTTATTAGTAAATCTGCGGTAAGTTTTGAAAAATATTTTTATTCTTAGAAACATTAAAACTTTATGAAATTGGATTATAATACTTATACTAAGTGCGTCTCACTGTAGGATAATAGGAATAGAAAAATGATATACAAAGAAATATAAAAACAGGGATTTCCTTTATTTTACGTTTTATGTTGAAGTAACAGTACGTACACATAAAAGTTCGTCAAGCAAAACATCACTATTTCTCTTAGAAGTTCTAATATAAAACTATTTACAAGTATAAAATTCACTACATCCAACTCACGTTGCTGATAAAATCCGTTTATTTTCATTGTTTATCATTCCAATCACTAAAACTTTAGTCTAAACACTGATTTTAGATGAGAAAATGATGATTAGTCTTCAGATCATCGGATTGACCTGTAACAAACACAAATTTTAATCAGATTACTTCTTTTTTATTTAGTAATGGAATTTGGTTTCATAATGCAAATAAATTAAATCGTGTCAAGTTGATTATATTACAAACAAATTATGTTCAATTAATGCTCGAAACGCATTTAATGGTCACATTTTACCTACTGTAAATTAAAATAGATAAATATTGCCATAGTATAATTGTATTGTCATTCAAAGTTACCAGTTTGAGTTTCAGTTATTATTTGGTTTTGTTATTTTCACTAAAAACTACTAAACCCATCTTTTTCAATCTTTACAGTATAGTCAGGAGCACTCCAACTAACTCGTGCATAGTCAGAATCTACAAGTTTGACATCAAAAGAAACTCAACAAATCAACCCTACTACTGATAAACCTCAATAAAAATGTACTGAGAAAATAAACTCACCAATTTGTGTACAGTAAACAGTTGAGCACAGTCAAGGCGACGACCCGCGGCGGGCTCCACCGGCGGCCTGCAAAACAAACGAACGTCAATGCCATTAAGCATGTCACCCAGAACGGCCCGCGATGTGACGGGCCCACTCGACCGGACAATCACCCGCGCTTTACACAAACAATATCGATTAAATCTTTCCCAGATATAACACTGATACTTCAAGCGTAAAAAGGACAAAGTAAACAGAAAAATAGCGCTAAAATCAATCAATCTTGTTTGAATACTGAGAACCACTCATGAAAGGTTCGAATCGTTTGTTCAGTTTTCTTGAGACAAGTATGACAACGAGAGAGTTAATATTACTACGAATTTCTTGCTACGACATACAGGGTGACGTTGAAATCGTTAGCATCCTTTTAATATCTCCTCTCCTCTACACATGATAAATACAGGGTGTTAGGTAAATGGGTATATGAGCCGACACTAGCCCATGTTAACATGGTCATATAAATGGTATGGTGAAGTCAGAAAATTGATATCTTCATTTTAATTATTTTAATTTTCATACAAATCAGATTTTATAAAATTTATTTTGTATGAAAATTTAAAAAAATAAAATGATGATATCAAATTTTTGACTTCACCATACCATTTATATGCCCATGTTAACATGGGCTAGTGTCGGCTCATATACCCATTTACCTAACACCCTGTATAGTGCATTCCCCAAATATGAGACAAATCATGAGTAGTCTTATTTTAAAAGGATGCCAACGATTTCAAAGTCACCCTGTATACCTAGCACGTAGCTTCGTAGCTCGTAGCACTGAGAATCATGCTACATCAAATTTTATTATTCATGTTAATGTTTTTATCTGTCACGAGCTGATTCGGAGTTGCAAGCGACGGCTTTGATGGACGCGTTAACGCGAATTTGCATGGGTCTCTGAGTGACACTTTTTTCTCTGTATCGTTTACGCACTTATCGAAAGATATTTTATCTCACAATCCATGCTGACGATTCTATTGTAACAGAAAATTTACCGCTTTTAAAACAAGTAATAACAATAGTAGTAGTACGTTAATATACCCAGCATTTTATATATAGTAGGAACGATTTTGCAACAAAAATGCGTCTATTCAAATGTGCTGTTGTTTGTACTTGCTGAGTTTTATATTGGTGTGATTTAATTTTGTTGAATTCCCTACTTATATCCTGATTAATTTTCCTTAAATTTCAAAGCAATTATTAGTACCTATTATTTCATCGAACCTTGATATTTTCCAAGTATTTCTTGCTACCACCTGCAAACGTTAGCCAATATAAGTTATTAACTTGTACTTCCGCAAGTGTTAGCAGCCTCAGGCTCTGCCATATCGCTTGCAATCCGGAAGGATAGTGTGTCACGTGGAAATCGTTCTCGGTGATCTCGCCCGTGTTATATTTCCAGGAATCGTCCTAGTTACACACACGAATAAATATGTTCCGTATTTTGGTCATTGGAATACACAGCGCATACGATTTTGTGTCGTTTGGAACTTATTTTGACGTCAAAACGCTTATTCTTATTTGATTCTCTGAAATCCTTTTACATGTGAGCTAACAAAATTTGCAAAGTTTACGGAGTAATACAAAATGTTTTCAGGAAATTATACTTTGTTCCTTTTCTTCCACGTGGTATGCACAAGATTAATAGACATTCGATGGAGCCAGTGATGTAGGTATTTATTGTGATATAAGATTATGTTCACGCATACGTGTTATTTTTAGCCCAAAGAGTACGTCACGCGTCGCGTACCTAAGCTACAGGTAGATTCGACCAAAAAAGAGTAAATATTAATCTCAGAATAAATTGTCAATTATTAGACATTTTGACATATTTCCCATTCTGAAACTGTCAATGTGCCAGTTATACCAGGAGTTATTTTCGGATAAAAGTTTGGTCGAATCGGGCCTTAGAAGTTTAATCCTGCTAATAGTTTTTCGCAATTAAAAGTAAGTATATAAAATAATATGTATTTACATCAATATATCAAATGAAAAAGATACTATTAGATTGTTGAGACAACTGTATTGAGATAATTGAACTGAAGTTCAATATAAATTTTCGTAAAGTAAAGCAGTAAAGACGAAAAGTCGATTACATGATTGCCTCTTACAGTTCTAGATTGCTCTACATTCCTAGATTGGCGAACTATAAAGTCAATCTATACCATGATGCCATTATTTTTTGCTTGAGTCCTGTTGATATTTTAATTGTTATTTTATTTTGTAAGGATATACTTACATGAAACATTTTTTTTAATCACACGATTAGCTCTCCTTACGGTTAGTAGCGGCCTGCATCCAGCGCTTTCCTGCTACCTTTATCAAGTCGTCGGTCCACCTTGTATGTGGACGTCCTACGCTACCAACCGTGCGATGTGGAAGTCACTGGGGGAGGCCTATGTTCAGCAGTGGACGTCCTGTGGTTGAAATGATGATGATGATGATTAGCTCTTACCTGTGTTAGAGTCCCGGGAGCCCATAACGGGAGCGATCTGCGGCCGCTCCTCATCCAAGAGGAGAACTCCGCTGGCGGACCACACGGAGAGTACGCGCGCCACGCACGTCACGTTCAGGCGTCCCTGCATTGCAAAAATATCTTTAAAGTCAAACAAGAAGGGTCTAAATCGCATAGTAAGACAGCACGCAACATAAGTCACGTTCAAATGTACCTACCTGTGTACCTACCATGAGTTTACGTTAGGTATGCTCGCTAGCGAGTACGTCAAAAATCTCTATGAAGATTTTGTTTCTTAAAAGTAGCCGCTAGGGGCGCTGTAGAATATGTCATACAATTAATGTCATTTTTTTACGCAGTCGCTAGCGAGCTCACCTAACGTAAACTCATGGTAAGCCTACTGCATCGTAAAAGTATTATTAAAATCAAACAGGTAGGTAGAGTCAGAATTATAAACGCGTCACGCACGTCTCTTTGAATTTATCTCTGTATTTAGAAACATATAGGTACTCTAGGTGTCTCGAGTACCTAATCGTATTAATTCGATGAGTTATCAGCTGTGTTAAACAATAGATTAACTAGCAACTAAAGAGTAAGCTATTAATTATTACAAGTATTTTCTGATTGACAATCCCAACTAATATTATAAATGCGAAAGTAACTCTGTCCGTCTGTCTGTCTGTCTGTTACGCTTTCCCGCTTAAACCTCGCAACCGATTTTGATGAAATTGGGCATAGAGATAGTTTGAGTCCCGGGAAAGAACATAGGATAGTTTTTATCCCGGTTTTTGAAACAGGGACGCGCGCGATAAAGTTTTTCTGTGACAGACAAAATTCCACGCGGGCGAAGCCGCCGGCGGAAAGCTAGTATCAAAATATTGCGATTTTCAGATAAAAATTTACTTATTAAAAATCAACCAAAATGGAAACTTACAACATGTAAGCATTGAAATCATTTTATGCTTATTGCAAGGAAAAATAGCTATTCATCTAAAATTGAATAACTTTTTACAAGGTTTATGTAATAAGTGAACTCATAAAATTATACGCCAATCAAACAGTTACTGTGAATAACGCGAATAACGGAGCAAATCGACGTGAATTTCATTTCATTCACTGTCAAATACAGGTTTCGATTCCGCTTCGTTTCGGATCGACACACAAACAAATTCTAAAAAGCGTTATTACTTACTTTACGGAAATGTACGGACTTGACTCTCATAACAAGCTGGCTGAACGAGGATGATTTATTAGATTTCTCTTCTTCAGTGCTAATGTTCAATTTATTTGCTATTTGCCCGGGCGCGGGCGTGAGGCGGGTTGGTTCCTTGTTTTTCCGATCGGTATAAACGTCGGCCGAGGGCAGTATGCTGGCGATATTGCCGGGAATGTCTATTACGTTGTCGGTCGTCTCGTCGAACCCTGAGATTGCGTCCCATGGACTGAATATAATTCTATTCGCGTCTTCGAGTGACGCGTCCGCCGTTACAGGCTTCCGCGCGTACGGGAGCTCCTGCACCGGGATGTCGAGTCCTTTCACCTGTGGACGGTTGACGGGTTAACATCTTGTCACAAATGTTATTGGATTTCAATAAACAAAAGACGTGATCGGCACATTTAATACAGCGCTTTCGAGTCTAGTGGCAATATAAAGTTCTGCAAAGTTTTAAGTATCTATTTCAGGCGTCAAATATCTTTTGAGATTAATAAACTCACATTTAACGATGACATTTCCAAAGTCATAAGATACATTCTTAATTAAAGTAATTGTTGTACAATTTCTAAATATCACGTTAACACGTATTCAATTACATCTCTACTTAATAAACGCTTCAATGTTTCTCGAACAAAAGAATGCAAAACTAAAAACACAAGTAGGCTTTGCCATATTAAATTCATGCAGGATGAGGTCCCGGGGTTGGCTAATTATTTATAATTGGTGCGAAGCCCTCAGGGTATGAAGCTTGCTCGCTCACTTTAATTAAATATACTTTTAGCTGTAATCCGTTTATTGACAAGTGTTTTATAAACAACTGTCTATTTCACAAGTTCGCAACCCACTTTCTAGCTACTAGAAATCCAATATTCTTGGTAAATCAGATCAGTACAAAAGTTTTGAAAGTCTACCACAACTTAGTTATCTTAATTTCGTAGACAGACATTATAGAACATGTTTCGAAGACCTCCTGAATAGGGTAATTGTACGAGCAGACGCGCGACGAATTTTTGATATTAAATATCATGGTTTGTATTCAGAAACTATACTCAAACCTAGATTCAAACTCAAGAATTCAACCAATCAGAGTTTTGAAACTAGGGTTTTCGAGTTTGAAGGTAGATTCTGAATAGACAATAAATCGGTACTGGAATTGAAAGCTTGTGAAAAGAAAATGTTTTTGTTATAATTTTTCCTTGTTGTTAAATACTTAAGCCTTTAAGATTTAAATTCCTTACACGTGACGGCCGTTCTTAAGGGATGTTATCGATCTCCGTAGCCGATTCAAGTTTCTGATAGTTTCGGATAAAGCTTAATGATTTTTAATATTTGATACTTGTCTGACATTCCCTGGCATAATCTGATATCCCCGCCTGTTTTACTATTATTATAGGTGCCGTCATAGTACATAAAGTGGCTATAATTATGGATCGCGCAGCATCTTGTAACTTGAATTTTACATTTTTTAAATTCTAATAGGTATCTGTAACCGAAATTATCCGAAACTTTCGGATAATCCGAAATGATTACATATCTGTAACCGTATCAGAAACCGGTATAATATTATTCTAATCAAATCAAATCAAAATTATCTTTATTTGTGTAGTAGACTAATTAAATTAGTACTTAAAAATCGTCAAATGCTCTTAAGGAGCCTATACATGTCTCATTCTTTTTTTGCCCTACCATCTAATATCCGTAACCGTATCCATAACCGAAACTTCATATCCATAACATCCCTTCTTACCTCCTGCCCGTTGAGGAGCCAGGTGAGGTTGGCGGGGGGGTCGGCGGGGGGCGAGGTGCAGTTGGCGCGCAACATGTCGCCCGCCGAATACCAACTTTTCTGCGCTTGCACTTTCGGCATTGTATCCGGCAGTTCTGTGTACAAAAATATATGTTTTTTAAATCGAGCTTAGAAAAAATTGCAAATAGATAAATTGTAGGTAGTTGATAAAAAATACAGTCAGCGTCAAATAAGTTCGTGACACCCAACTTTACACGTCTTTGGTTGAGTTATAAACTAAGTAGGTANATAAACTATTTGGCCACTTTTGATTATAAAAACTATTTGACGCTAACTGTACCTTATATAAAACACGATTTGAACAATACAGTAACACGATAATATTATCCTTTCTAATCTAACTAAACTCAACTTCAGGAACTCATTAATACGTTCATTTATAATTGAATATAGGACCTGAGTATCCCACTTGCACGTAACTGGCTTAATTTAATCGCTTTATTATTCAATCAAAGGAAGCCAGCACAAGTTAAACTGGGGAAGTCCCATTAGTATTGCGCGTAGATTCAATAATAGCAATCCACTAGCACTGCAGTTAAGCTTTGCGTTGGAAAGTTAATCGTCTGTGTTATGGCAGCGATGAGCGACCTGAACAAGTCAGCGCAGTTCAAATCACGAGGGAATAAGCAAAATACTGATCGCAATAAATAACCGAGCGGAGTGTGCAGGTTTCAGAGCGCGACGGGTGGCGCGGCGGCGCGCGCGACTCGGCGCGATGCATATTCATCTTTCATACGCGTTTCCATTTTGCCCCACAATTTTGTAGGAAGCGGTTAAAACGCCGAACAGACAAAATGGCCGCCCAAACTAAAACTCGGCGTGCTTTTGTTTGCTAGCAGCGCCCTCTATTACTGCGAAGCGGCGGAACTCGGCGCCGAGCAAAGTTTTAAGTGTTTACATTCCTGTTCTGTCGCTTTTTGCCAATTCTACTTAATGGGAACGCAGGGAGCTTTCCAGCACCTCATTTAATTTGGCCGTCGCGGGTGTATTTTTAGTGTTTATTTAATTCAAGATTTTGGCAAAGGCGCCCTCCTTTCTCAAACAAACAATTAAGTATGCTTTCTTTACCAACGATCCTGTAACTTATATTGTTATTTTATACAAGCAGCGCGGCTAAGTAAACAAACGCGGAACCCTTGCAAGTACGATGCAGAAAGTTTATTATTTGGTTTTAACTTCGGCAATTTGAATAAAGGTTCAAAGCCATCGCATACAAATAATAAATCTAATTCAAAAGATTTACATTGGCTGTTGAATATCCAAACAACGTACACCTTTTATTACACTTTATAAGTACGAGGATACCCGACACATTCCTGAAACCGGTCCCCTAATCTCATGCAAACTACAAAATTAGTTCACGTTACACGTAATCTGTTTTGTAGCTATCTGACGGACGTTATTACATTATTTGCACCTGTAGGTACGGTTGCCTGTTTACCGCTACCTCGAGAAATACATCAAACGGGGATCTCTACAACCTAATTATTCAGAGCACTTACCTACCTATACAAATTACATTTCCCGTCACCTAGCGTTTATGACGTCACGGGCTGCCAACGGCGCACTTGGAGGCTGGCGCGACAATAATCGTAAATTAACAAAGATAAACCTTAATCAAACATCCCTTGTGTTCGATTCCGCATTTATTGCACAACAATAGTTCTGATTTACGATTTAGGACTGTAGGGGGCGCTGGGGGATTGTTCCTATTATTATTTGTAACTGCTGGGCCACCTTCGGACGACCTGTTAAATGTTTGAATTACGAATTAGATTTCAGTATTGTTTATTTTATTGTTAGGGAAATAAACAGCATTTTATAACGCACATAGAGTTACTAATTAAAGTTCACATTTGCCAAAAGAGATTCATTAAGTACTATACTGAAACAAAAGATTTATTAATATACTGAAACACCAAATATTAACAACATTTTCCTTATTTATATAAATAGAGTAGGTAGCATTTCATCAGAAATTTTCATTTCTTAGAATTGTTTACGTTTTGGTTCTTTATCCGATCATCGAACATTGAGAAAACAATTTTTTTTTAATATACCATTAATTAATTAAAAGCTCCTTTGTTTTTGCAATAACCTACTTAAGGAATTAAGAAATACTTTACGTGATGCTTACCTGAAAGTTGTTACTATAACTACAACTAGTCCTTATTAAAATTTTTGAGATCTATTGACTATTGTTTATTGGTCTACCTACGAGTATGTTCTATTTCTCCAAGGTCATAGTTTTTGATGAGATATATACGCCCGTCCGTATACACAAACGATGCTTGCATAAGTGAAGCAGCAAGCGAACACACAGTGTTGAATAGAACTCTGTAATCGGTTCGTGTGTCACCCTGTGCATCCACGCGCACTGTGAGACCTCATAGTAATGTTTGTGAATACGGGTGTTAAAGTAGGTATTCGCAAGATATTTATTTTGAAGGTATAATTATTCTAACATGGATCTTAAAAGCAGAGTTCTTTGGTCTCCGCTTCATTCGTAACAGCGTCAGTGCTGGGACGTTATGCAATCGCACGACCCACCGCAAACCGCGCGGTTGAGATTTGCGCGGTGAGCCGACCACCATCACTGAGACTCGTATTTACAAAATATAGAACTCAAAACTCGATTCAACCACCAACGAGACTCGTACACAAACTAAGTTCAAGACTCGATTCAAAACTCAAGAATGTCATTGGTAAGGATTGATGTAGATTTATACTTTAGTGTTATTATACCCGAGTAAGCGGAGTAAGTATACCTTGAATTAAATCACTGCGCCTAATCCAGAAACTTTCTTTAAACTTTTGGTGAATGATAAAGCTATTTTTAAATAAACTGATCTATTAGTACAGGTCGTCACTCTATGGATCAGCGAGCTTGAATACATATAGATAGATGACAGCGGCTTGATGGAAAAATCGGACCCGTTCGTGCATTTTAGCCTTCCTTACGACAGTCAGGGGACTACCATAGGCTTAAATTATGATGATGAGATGAGTAAAGTCACAAACATCTGAGGAAAAGATTCAGACAATGGCACAAATATGCAAAGATTTTTACTTCGCATAGTTAATTAGGTTTGCGATAGTTTAACCAGCCGCAAGCCACAGCTTGAGGTTCACTGCGGCAGCTAACTCCTCTAAGCCAGCTCTAAGTAGCATCTAATCGATAACGCAAACTATCATTGCTGCAACGAGATGCAAACTCGATTTACCCACGACACTTTCCTCCGATTAAATATTGAACATCCAGCTGCACAGATTCATCGGCTCCGGCATCTTATCGATTATAATGCAAATTCAATTTCGCCTCGATACTTTCCTCGGTTCGACACATGGATGTGGCAAAAAGATTCAGAAGGCTCTCTTGTGCCCAATAACACATGTGACAGATAATAAATGAAGGTGTTTTATAAACTCGCTTTAACTCATCAAGTGCCTGTAAACGAGATACAATAGTAGTCAATTTTTACACCGCTAAAGAAGTTTTTGGTTTAAACTAAAAAGTGAATGAATATTGTTTTTGTAAAGAACTTAATAATGCATCTGAAAATTTAAATTTACTAAGGATGTAGGTAAAGGGTAACTTTTTAGTGCTAGAAATTGCAATAATCTCATTTAAATAAAAGTACGGATACAGGTAATTGATGGTTATTGTCCGTGGTGCATGTCTTTTCTGCAAGGTTACTAAACCTTTGTTTGTCACCTGTCATCTGCTTTGCAAAGGGAAGTCGAACCTTTACTTCGAAATCCTCCTATGTTTTTCTGATTAATATCGTTGCTGATCCAGTGACAGTTTAACTTTCACCCGGGACAAACTTGACCTTCACTGGTTGGGTTTTTATTGGCGGTCAAGCTGTAGATCCTGGCTACACAGGAGTTGCAGCGGTGGGAAGGAGAGGTGGGAATAGAACCTACGGGTATAAACATTGTCACTAAAGGCCTACTGTAATAAATCTACATTGTCATATCGGACTCTAATGACGCGTATTGTACGATTCCCATTGAAGGTGCGTCAATAATAGCATTAGTTGGTACATTGTGCAACCACAAACCACCGTCCTGAATTTACCATACAATGCTCATTTAATCTATTCTGTCTATAGATTAGATCATGTCCAATGAGTAAACGCACTCTATTTATAATTTTGCAGTGTGTTAGCGCATTGTATAGTTGTCCATTTTGAACAGTGTGGATTAACTACCCAATAAAATGACAGGATGAAGTTTTGCTTTGTGTGCATATTGTTAAGTAGACGAATTAGGGCAATGGGAAAATTTTGAATTCTAGCTCTGTATGAAATATGAAATCCTGAATTAGCTATAGTTATCCTACAGTATCTTTCAAATGTGTATATTAACTATGTATCGCATGTACTTATATGTATAGGCAGTTGCATCCCAACTTGAACACTGAATAATAAACAAAGGGATTCCAATTCTTTAGTCAGAATGACGCAAATTTACGGATGTTCGCGGAGAAACGAATGCGAGGACAGCGCGGAATAACCTATTTATATGCATGGCTACATAATAACTTTGTTTTCGGCAAGTGATCTGTCACGAACTTACGAACTCACAACTTCTTACTACTTCTAACATAAACGAATTTATCGATATTTTCAACTCTTTCACTGTCCTTGATTTCCGTGTCATTGATTCGTGTTACTACAGAAAATTAACTAATGAACTGTTATCTGAAAAACAAAAGACGTCGGTGAATTTAATTTTACTTTAATGTAAAAGAAAAACTTTGCTATGATGATTTTATTTTCAGTTGTCAGAGTGTGGGTTTAATCCAGTTTAAAAGGTCTGAATGAAACTTAAATATGTAGAAACATTGCAATTTAAATAAAAGCTTGAATATAAAAATGAAAATATTCTTTTGACTCCATATTTCGCATTGACTTTGTAAATAAATTTACGTTCGATGTTTTACTTTTTATTCTTTTTCCGGGTCCCGTAAAGAATAAAATTTTAAAAACAGAATTATGAGCGACTGGCTCGCCTATTAAAAGGCACTTGTTCCCAATAAAGGCACAGCAAAAATCTCGAGCAAGCGCGA